GGGACGCTTCATCTGTTTCACCATCTCAGTGTTCATGAGCCATGTCTGGTACCTCGAGGTACATAGAAAAACAACATATAAAGCTGTGTCTACGGCCAAATCATCGAATCTCTCCAAATCGATTCAGAGGCTTCCAATTCAATTTGGAGAGATTAATGGGTCTCCTGATTCGATCTGGAGGTTTGGCCACTGAATTGGGCTGAATCTCCTATGAATCAAATCAGCAACCAAAGCTTTGCACAGTCCTAATAAGCAGTAGTCGGACAATAGACAGTCAAAGTGGCATCACTTTTATGTAACTATAAGGATAAAACTGTGCCAGAAATGACTGGCACCTGTTATGAATAAAGAGGACAGGCTGAAGCTGTATTCACAAGAAAATATGTCTCTAATTACTAAAAACCGGGATGAAGTGATCCCAGCAGTAAAGCTATTGAAACTTTATTCACGAACACTGGTGTGAATAAAATATTGGTTGCTCATATGGCATTCATGAGATTCTCTGCTAATATTTGTACAGACAAGGTTTTATTTATGAGAATACACATGGAAAGTGAAAGTTTTGAGCTACTTAAGGGACCATATGTTCATATGAGCAGTCTGCACAAACACTTATTACACTAACAAGTCTTAGAATCAGAGTCTCTAAGAGCATCTACATGAGATGCCTTACTGCACAGTAGAGCTAATTACTGCATAGTAAGTGTCCACGTCTACACAGGCAGATGCTTACTACACTGTAATTGGCTGTAATTGCTATTAAATTTGCTACCTGCAAATTCAAGTAGCTAGACACCTCTGGCTTTGCTCCTAGCGAGAGAATTGGCACATCCCTGTTGAAGTCCCCATCCTTAGCTGTAGGCAACACCCAATGGCCCTGGGGAGGCTTAAAAACACCCTGACATATAGCAGGAATAAAAGGAGGGTAATTGGAGCAAGCAGCTTGGTAGAAAATAGGTATAGATCATCCATGACCAGTGGCTGTCCAACCTCTTTCTGAACACCTCCAGTGATGGAGAGTCCACAGCTTCCCTAGGCAGTCTATTCCACTCGCTCACTATTCTCAGAGTGAAGAAGTTTTCCTGGATATCCAATCTAAATTTATTTTGCTGCAACTTCAAGCCATTGGTCTACATCCTCCTCTCTGCAGCAAGACAGAAAAGGAGGTTTCCCTCTTCTTTATGGCAGCCCTTCAAGTATTTGAAGATTGCTATCATGTTTCCTTTTAAGTGCCTTTTCCACAAGCTGAACATGCCTAGTTCCTTCAGCCTTTCCTCATATAACTTGCTTTCCAAGCCCTTGATCATCTTTGTTGCCCGCCTCTAGACGCTAACTTCTCCACATCCTTTTTTAAAATTCAGAGCCCAGAACTGCACACTGTACTCCAGATGAGGCCTAACCAGTGTTGAAGAGAGGCACTATCACCTCCCATGTCTTGGAATTAATGCTTCTATTGATGCAGCACAAAACCGCATTTGCCTTTTGTGAAGCTGCATCACGCTGCAGACTCATATTGAGTCTGTGGTCTACCAAGACTGCCAAGTTCTTTTCCACAGAGCTGTCATCCAGCCAAGTATCCCTCATTTTGTATTTATATTTTTGATAATTCCTTCCAGTTTTCTATCCACCTTGTAGCAGTTTTATCCAGCAAACATTTCTCCAGTTTGTTTATGAGACGGTCATTTTGGGGACCTTGTCAAAAGCCTTGCTGAAGTCCAGATACACTCTATCTACAGCATTCCATTCATGCACCTGAGTAGTTACTTTGTTAAAAAAGGAGGCTAGGTTTGTCTGACATGATTTGTTTTTCACAAATCCATGCTGGCTGGTTGTGATCAGCTTTTCCTCCTCCAGATACTTGTAAATGGCTTTCCTTAGGATATGCTCCAGTAACTTCCCAGGTATTGATAACCGGTGAGGCTAATTGGTCTGTAGTTCCCTGGGTTCTCCTTCTTGCCCTTTTTAAAAAGGTGCACTACATTGGCCCTTTTTCAGTCTTCTGGTACCTGGCCCATCTCCCATGACTTCATTAAGATCATTGCCAAGGTCTCTAGGATCTCCTCTGCCAGTTCCTTCCAGACCATGGGATGAAGCTCATCCAGCCCTGCTGACTTGAATTTATTCAGGCCCAACAAAAGCTCTCTGACTGTCTCTTTTGTTATCTCCAACAAAACAGATTGTTGTTGTAGAACATCTCACCTGGCAGAGGAAAATGACTATAACCAATAATGTTCTGTATGTAAATCCATAATTTGAATATAGAAGATGAAGATGGCCTTAATGTTTAGGGACAGGAAGAAAATGTGATCCATCCCATTGAAAAGACATGCTCATTGACATTTATGTAACCAGCATCTTAGAAAGGCTTATTAGAAGATATAACGCAGCAAATTATATAAATTCAAATACTGTGTAGGCTGTCTTGACTTTGGAAAGAATGTGGTCCAATCAATGTATATTGTTTCTGTAGACCAAATATGTATGTTCTCATCTATGAAACATGGTTTAGAAAATATGAATAAGGTGAATAATGTATTTAAGTACAGTTGAGGAGTCCTTAAATATTTTTCTTTCAGGTATGTACAAAAGTGCTAATAGTACATTTTTGTCTATGTCACTCTTTTCCTTTATGACTATAAATGTAACACATCACTATTTCACCTTTAGATATTAAGCTGCCTGAATACAATTTTGCTTTTTGTTGAAGTAATTTATTCACCTAGGAATTACAGAACAACAGTGGAAAGTTAATTACTTATATTCACTTACATCACCTGGAGTTTAGTATCTTGTGTCCAAAAACGTAACTTATCGTCTTTCAGTATATAAACAGGAACTTTCTACATTTGGTCTTGATAAATGTAATGGTATATGCAAGGGAAAATATGTCCAGGTTTGAACAGCAAGCTTCTTAATACTGTAATCAAGAACTGTAGAGTGTCTTTACTTGACCCAGGGTGGGGGTGGGAGTGGGGTGTTTTAATTAGAGAAGCTCTTGAGAGCCACTCTAATTAAAGTGCCCATAGTGTCTCATGTATTCAGCGCCCCACACTTCAAAATGGTGGCAGGGGTGCTTTAACTAAAGCTCATTCAACAATCTTTGGTTAAAGTGCCCCCAGAGCCATTTTGAAGTGTGGGGACACTGAATACACGTGATGCCGAGGCTGCTGGAGTGTGCTAAATAGCACACTCCAGCAGACATGATTAATTGAGTCTGTTTTGACCCGTTCTAATTAGAATGCATCAGAGCAGGTGTTGGGAATGTGTATAGGTGTCCATTTTCTTCATTACAAACAGCAATCTACTATAACTGTTAAACAGCAGTTAAAAGTAGTAATTTTTTTTATTTATAAAGGAAAATAGTATAATTACCAAATTTAATAACCTCAGCAAAGTGATATTTCTTTAAACTACAACATGAAAAAGATACATTTTTGAAGATACGATCCAGGGATGTGCAGTTTAGATATGAATGTGGATTTGAGTATATCCAATGTTCGAATTTCTCTTTGGACCAAGTTCTACTTTTTAAAGTTCAATAGACTCAATTCCTCAAACACACGGCAGGGCGCACCAATAACTAAACTGATTAAAATTACCTTCAGAGATTGGGTTAGGTAGCAGTTTGGTCCAGAGTACCCAGGATCACAGATGCACTGTTCTTTCAAGCAGTCACCATGGCCTCTACAGTTTTCTAAGCAACCAGGTCCCAGATAGAAATTATCAATGGCCCACTGCATATCTGAATATTTTTGATAGAACCTAAACCTCACTGGACTAGAAACACAAGAATGAAGAAAAACAGATATAGATAAAACAGATCGTTTTGTACAAATGAAAACAGTAGACTAAATACATATGTTTATGGATAGCACAGTACAGGGAAAAATTGGACTCTTCCCTATAGAAGATATGGTAATTAATATTTTTATTATATGCTAGTAATTCTTCTAAATGATACTTATAATTATGTTATTATTTAAACAAGGTTATCATTATTTTTAACCAAAATGATAAGATGCATATTTCTTGCTTTCAGATTAAAAATGTTTGTTTTGTAAAACAAAGAGATTTTTCACATGAGCTCTACTGTACATCTTCTCACTCAGCCCTTGACTTGTAAGTAGTTCCACTGAATACAGTGGCAGTACCTATGATGCACAATTAGGCATCTTTAGAATCAGGATATTTTAAATTAATGTTTGGCAGTCTTCATAGTAATCCACTGAAACATATATATATATCCCTTAGAACATACCTACTTGATCTGGGAGATTCATTGTTGACAGAAAGCCAGAACAAAGTTATCTTTAGAGAGAATTTATTTTTAAAATAAATAATTTAAAGCTTTAAAATAAAACAACCTCATTTTTATGGAGAAAAGACAAATTAATGCAGCATTTACAGATTATTTGAGTAAATCTTTTCTATAAAAAAGCAAAATTCTTGTCACTAGTAGAATGTGGTCTGTAGGCAGGTTAAAATATGCAGTACAGATTCGGACTGAAAGAGGAAAACTTCCTTTTGTCATTTGTTCATTGCCAAATTTGGTAAGAAAGAATAAGAAATATACAGCACAGATGGTCATATCATTCTGCTGCTTTGAGTTTTTATAGAAAAATCAAGTCTCAATTATATTCCTTTAAAGTCTAGAATGGCATTGCCCAAGAAAGCTGGATTAAAGATAAAGTGGTGCAGCCTAGATGAGACAGAGGCATGAAATATGATCTTGATCTCTTATTTCTAGGATGGCAGGGACTAGAGTTGAAATAAGTTAGCTACCAAGAAGGGAGAACTTGGCAATAGTCTCCAGCAAACTCTTAGGAGTAGAGCTTTGAAGAAAATTCCATTCAGCCCCTTTCTGTAGGAAGAAAAGCTGATGTGTGATGCAGGGACTCTTCAATAGTAAGATAAGGGAAAAATGAGAGGAACTTCTGAGGACCTTCAAAGAAAATTAATATGTCAGTAGTTCAGAAGCCCAGAAGGTGGTTCAAACTTGAAAACTGACTTTAAGTTTCCATGCTAATTATTTCTCCATATCTCACTTGCTAGGATTATAAATAATACAAAAAAATGTCCCTTCTCCCAATAGCTACCTCTGGAAAACCAATGTGGGATCTTCAATTAAGAGTGTTTTTTCTGATGCATAAAAAGATTCAGTGTATCTAATTTTACCGTTAGTTATTCCAGTATAGCTTTTTTTGTTTACAAACACACGCAGCTAGAATTCAGTTAAAATTCTGGTGATGTTAAGAGAAAGGACAGTCTAGTTTCTCCCAGGGTTATGTTGGCCCTGCAGGGCTATTGGAGACATAAGTTAATAAACCTCTTTATTAAAATAGACAGCTGTGGGGACCTGATAGATTTTGAATAGACAAAAAGGAATTGATTTACCAGAGTTCTTAAGCATATGCTTGATTTAAAGTCCTGAAATCCTTAAAATTAGGTGAGTACTTAAGAAGGTTGCTGAACAGAGGCTAAAGTGCATGTTTTAAATAAATGTATATATAATTATGATTTTCAGGCTATAATTCCTTTTAAGACTGTACCCACCATGATGATTTGCTTTTTCATACTTACTTGCCCACAAGGTTTTCAGGCAGTAGATACGTTATCCTTTTCCATCCTTTTGTTGGAAAGAAGACAGAGGGCTGTGAAACACTCCCAGAACATTTTGGATCAGCAGGTAAGCACTGAGGTACTAAATAGCTCCAACTCACACCAAAGTCAGTGGAATACTGCACGTGGACTTGGTTCTGTGCAATTTTTTCTGAAGTTTTACATCCAACAGAAATCTAAGACAGATAAAAGGAGGTAACTAGGTATAATCCTTCCCGTCCCAGAACTGTGTGGATGGTTATGTTTTAAGAAATTATACAGAAAGAAAAGTGACTGTAGAGTATACTTTGAGTTACAGCACTTGCAGAACTTACATCACACTTGTCATTCTGTAGCTTTCGTTATTCCCAATGTGCAAACTGGAAATTGAGTGAAAGTCATACTACAAGTCAATGGATCTTGATTTCCTGACTCCCAAGACTGGTGTTATATTCACCATTAAGGTGCACTTCTCCTATTACTGTCCCATAACAGTGCAATTTAAAACACCAATATTTGAAATGGCAGTAAATAATAAAGCCAATGTTTTGATTAGCTGTTACTTCACTAATCAGTTATGACAAAATATGCAGTGCACTGGGGGGTGAATCTTCCAGCTGCATCATGTTCATACTCCTGCAGCACTGGAGAAGAACCCAAGATTATGTTTGTAAACTGTCAGTAATATTAAGTATTAAGTAGTAAAACGTAGGCCAGTTACTGGAGAGTGACATCATAAGCCCTTAAGCAGCATATAGCCCCCTGGCCTATATATCATTTGCTCTTCTGGAAATTTAGGGGGCATATAGCCCCCTGGCCTATATATCATTTGCTCTTCTGGAAATTTTTCCAGGAGAGAAAAACAGCAGAACAACAGGTTGTCAGAACTATGTACAACAGTGGTTTGCAAACATTTTTGGCTGTGTATCCCTTTACCTGCAAAATATTGCTAGTCATCCCCCCTGCAACAGACGCATTTGCATGTTCATTCCGTAGGAAGAATGGGCGTCTTTACACATGCTCCGGGGTAGGGGAGGGGGGCACTTTAATTAGAATGGCTCTTGGAAACTAATTAAAGTGCCTGCAGTGTCTTGTGTATTCAGTGTCCGTGCTTCAAAATGGCTGCAGGGGCGCTTTAACTAAAGCTCGTTTGATGAGCTTTAGTTGAAGTTCTCCCACTGCCATTTTGAAGCATGGGGATGCTGAATATACATGGTGCTGAGGCTGCTGAAGCATGCTAATTAGCACGTTCCAACAGACTTGATTAATCAAGTCTACTCCAGCCATGAATGACGCATGCCCCGGCGGCTGGCGGGGTACAGTGGTGGCAGGAGTGCAGCGGTGGGAGCATGGCAGCAGTAAGCCACCGGCACTGTCAGCAGAGTGGGGAGGGGGAGCGAGCGCTGACCAGGGGTTGGTGACCACCTGCAGACTCCGCCAGCGGCACCTTTTTGAGGGGGTACACCGCCATGCTCAGGGGTGCACATGTACCCATGTGCACCCCCTACGTGTCGCCCCTGACTCCAGCACATTCTAATTAGACCATGGAGCAGATGTCAGGGACGTGTAACGGTGCCCAATGTTGACAGTGATGTCAACATGCTGCAATGTTATCGTTTACCATGCACTGACCTGTCAGAAGCTCCACTGTCATTACTAAACTTTAGGCAAAGCCGAGGTATGTGTACCACAGTTTGAAAATGATGGAGAAGACAAAGATGATAAAGCGTTTACCTTGAATTGCATAATCCAGCCTTCTGTAGGAGTTAGGTCATGGGTAACTGCATAAACTTCCCTGCCATCGTGGCTACCACAGATCATAACCCCATCAGGAGATTCACAGAATCTTTCAATTGAGCAATCATCATGGAACAGCCAGTGTTCATTCACTTAAAAAATATGAAAGTTAATATTGTATTACTGAAACACCTAAATAGTGTAAATTGCTAATGAAAGAGAGGCTTATTTTTTCAACTGTGTACAAATAAGTTAGTATTGATCTGTGAAATATTTCTGAGAACTTTAGTACCCATCATTCCCATATAACTGTATTATATTTACTGTTCACAGCATCCTTTGCTACTTCTGAGCACAGACATTTTAAAATATATTTTAATACATAAGAATTAATATTCATAGTATAAAGTCTTGTTACACTAGACCCTATAAAGGGAAATTTATGGTTTTATAACATACATATCATTTAAAAAGATACATAGTATCTTTAACAAATGCACAAATATTTCCCCTTTTTCTTAGTAGCTATAAAACACAACAATTTAACCACCTTAGGAACTATTTTAAACACCTCTGTTTGAAAATGTCCATAAAATAGGAAGCAAATTTCCAGGGCAGGAAATTATTTTAGAATAATAACAAGAAATGTTTTTGATGAAAACAACAGATTTTTTTTTCTGGCTACATGGTGCATATATAACGAAAAATATTGAGACAAATCCTTTTTTCTCTTGAAGAAAATTGTATCTTATAAGTGAATTTACTTAATAAGAAGTCATTCCGTCTAAATGGCTGGCCACTTAACATACAGTCTATACTATTTCTTTAAAATCTGTATTTTTTTCTATATTTACTCTTTTCTTTCATGCACCGTTAGTAGCTTTAAAAGCAAGTTGCTACATCTGGTTGTACAAAAATATTATAAAAGTATAATACACAGACTGTCTCTGGTATCCTTTGCAGTGAGATCAGCAAGCTCAGGTTTAGAAGCAGCTCCACTAACTTCATGCTCTTTGATTCTGATCTGTATCAAACTTTTACCTGTAGTTTTGTCTTCCATAAACATATCAAAAGCAATCCTTCCTGTGGGGCCAGCATCTGCTGGGGAACGTTCATGCTGTGGCAATGGAGCACTGCTAAAGGTGTCTAACATCACCGTCCTCTGATCTGCTGAGCCAGATATCAGCACATTGTCAACAGCCCAGTCATTCTGATCCAAACCATCGTGTTTTGGTTGCCACCAACGGAAACGGGTGCCAATCACTTTGGCATCGTGGGGAAGAAGAATGTTCACAAAGCTGAAATGCAATCATTAAAAGAAGTCATGTGGGAGGCAGGTCTTTCTTTATCCCTTGGATTGTGAAAGGAAAAATAAAATGAAGTTGAAAATAGCCACCTGACTAGGACCAGCTGCTTTGACAAAGTCCATCCCCACCACCAGTTGGTGTGAAGGGGACAATCTTAATGACTGAACCCTAGTTCCCTGTATTGAGGATGTCCCTACCACAGAGGAATCCTCAGTGGCATGGAGCATTCATGACTGTTCCTACACATTATCCTCTCTCACAAGGGGTGTGATAGGTACAGGGAGAAATAAGAGGGAAGAACAACTGGTGTGTTGCTGAACTGTCCTTCTGAGGACCACTACCAGTGGCACCCATTTCTTTTCTAGATTGCACAGAAGTGAGTTCCACTCTCAATGACAAAGCTTTTTCACTGGCTTCGACAACAATTTTGTGCTTATGTCATTTAGAAACCTTCTTATAAATAAATAGTAAAATCCACGAAAGGATTTTATAAATCAAAGTGAGATTTCTGATGAGCATAGTTTTACTTTAATATTTACTAGTGAAATACAGCCATACATTTGCCAGTTAAACTGGTTGACGCAGACTCCATCTAATTAAACTGGTGTTAAACTAACCAGTTTTAAGTCCAACGTTTACGCACATGCTAACTTATACCTACATTTCACATGGAGCATGTGTAAAATGTATCCAAAAATGCCTGCATTGATACTGGGCTACTTTAAGGGGCTACAGATTAAAAATCTTCTTACTTCCAAGCAATACTTTTAAAAGTCAGGACAGACTTTGAAAAATCCAAGTGTGCTAGTTAGAAGAAGAATATATTCCTTTGTATTATTAATGCGTGTTAGCAAAAGAATATATTTACAGACCCAGGTTTGCTGAACTGGTCATAGAAGATTTCCATTAAGAGGTTCCAGGTAATTCCTCCATTCACAGAGTACTCAAGCAGAACTCCTTGGTTCCGATTGTTAGGAGTTATCAGGCATCCATACATGAAATAAAACTGGATGAATTCTGCATTAGTGAGGTTCAAATCCATTGTAACTAGCAAACGACTACAAGCCTGAAAAAGGAAAAAAAAACCCTGTTAGTGTGGCAGGGCAGTGAACCTAGGACTGTGATGTTTTTCAACTACTTCCTGAAAACTCAACTAAAGATTTCATTTTTCAGTTGTTTTACTTAAGGCTCAACCCCTTAATAAGAAGGTTTACAAGTTTGAAACAAAATAATAATTCTCTAATGATTATTTACAATTTTGGAATTAGCAATTTTGTAAAAAAATGGAATATGCTATATTTCATTCTGTTGGCATTTATTTTACCTTTGGAAGGGATAAAAGACGACATCTAATTTTGTGACAGCAGTTTTGCAACTACAAACAATTTGCCTGTTTAATTATTGTAACAATCAGATGCAGGTGCTGTTCTAAACATACCCAAAATAGACTCCAAAATAACTGTGTTCATATATTACTAAAGTACTGTGAATATATATGTACCTGTAGTGAGCCAGGAGTAGTACTGAATTCAGATCCCCTGCACAAATTATCTTTGGCAGCAGTACAAAGAGTTTCTATGAGCAAGCCTTTTTGGAATGAGTAGGTATATTCATATATACATAGTCTCTCCCTCGCTCTATAGTCTGCATTCCAGATGGCTTCTCCTTTCAGAGGATCTGTACATTGAGTCCTCCTTGTGTAGGAGATGGTATATACAGGAGAAGGGGTATCAATTCTCTTTATTGTTTTTTGATGGGCACCAATACTATCTGCCAGTGTTTGACCCCAAACCAGGAAGTAAACGTAAATTTAACATTTCCTATACTTAAATTTCTATGAGGTTTTAAAATCAATCCCATCATTAAAGACAACAGGCAAGAGATAACCACAGAGTAAAACACTAACCCCACTGAAATGAAGAGCCATTCCAGAGGCCACTGCTCCACAGACTGTGCTCAATTTCCCCCCATTTACTGTTAGCCAGTTCTGATTAGATGGAGCTCGGTTGAAGTTATCTTTAAGTTGTGTTGGAAGGGATGTCTCAGACTCATCACAGTAGAGCCCACCCCAGTGTTCATCGCAGCTGCAGAGGAAAACAATACAAAAAGTGAACACATTTAGAAAGGTTTTCTGCACAAAGATTTAATCAATATTATTTTATTCCAGATGAGGCTATTTGTCTTGCGTGGCATGGATTCACATGGATTCCTCTTTCAGAAGTTGTTAATATTAAACAAGATATAATTAAATAATATAAAGTCCCACAGGTATGTGGTTTTCATTCAAGCTGATAACATGCCAGGTACAGAGTAGTACACTCCTATCATGGAGCCTTATCAGTCAAAGAAACTGTATTTTGATAGATAAATCTATTAAGATAACAAGCCAGCCTAACCAAACACATTGCCTTTTAGTGCTTTAAGCAGGGAGGAAAATACAGAAATGTGTATGTTGCACAGTCACAATATAATTATGCATCTAGGGGCAATTTCGGCTGTCTTTTGTGAAGGGAGAGAGCCAAACATTCAGTAGAATGGGTACTATGCTGCTGCAGAATGGGTACTGTTTTATCTCAATGTGGAGCTCCATGGGTACCACTACTGGCACAACAGAGATCCATTTGGAAAATGGGTATGGCAATAGGCCACAGAGTCTACACTAATGCTGAGGTCAGCATGGCAACTACAAGGTGCCCACTGGACAAGATTATGTCCTCCTACTCAGAAGAGAGAGCCAACATCCAGCCCTGGATGCTAGGAACAGGAATAACCTGTGAGGAAAAGGGAACTGGAATGAAACCCCCATGCAAAAGACCAAGGAGACCCGGACTGTTTTCTCTGCACCCCTATGGGTGCCAGTTACTTTAGAGAGGACAGTAACCTACCTCAGCTAATGAGGTTCTGAGAGGGAATCTATTTCCATCACCCAGCCTAGAGGACAGAACAGTTTGTATACAGCTCCTGGGAGCTGGGGGAAGCACTGTGCTGTCCCTTTCCCTATCCTCTCTCAGGGGCAGCACCATTCCATACTGTATCTCTTGAAGGACAAATCTAGCCATCAAAGTCTGAAGTGATGCATTCTCTAATGTGCCCACCCACCCTCATCTTAGCATTTTATTTCTCAAGTGGTGCTATGCCTCTTACTGTTTCAAAAAAGAAATATGCTTTCAAGTCATTACCTTGAAATTACAGTATCCACCTCAGGAAAAGAGCTATACTTACACACAGTTGCCTTGTGTGCACCTCCCATGGCCACTGCACATATCTATACAGCCATCTCCAATGTAGACATTGTCTATAGCCCATGTTTGCTGCTTGTCAAATGGAGCTGGCTGGTGCCAGCGGAAACGAGTTGCTTGAGACCTTTGGGAAAGAAAGGGAAAGAAGATAGGATTTCCACTTGTGCTAAACTTTATTTAAATGGAAAGGAAACCTAATTGTGTCTCTTCCTCCAGACTTGAGCTGTATGTGAAAGGAGGACTGATTTCTTCATTGAATAAACCCAAGCTGAATCAACAGAATTACAGAGCCCCATGCAAAGCAAATTATTCAGCCTGTAGCCAAGACTGGGGAAAAGGGAGCTGGTTTCATGGTGGGGAGATGGGAATAGGAATGTGTCCATGTGCATTTGTGGGGAGACAGAGAAATTAGGCCCGATCCATCTACCACTGAGACCAATAGGGATTATCTCATTAAGTTCAGGGAGCATTAGATCACACCTGTGATCATGAAAATGTGTGCCTCCTGAGGCTGGGGGGGCACAGTGATCGCTCGCAGGCAGCATCGGTGTTGGCAGCAGGGGCATAGCGGCGAGTGAGGACTGCCCGCAGGCGGCCGTGGTGACATTGGTGGCAAGGGCAGCCCGAACAAGGACTGTCCACAGGCAGCTGTGGTGATGTCAGTGGTGAGGGCAGGCTGAGCAGGGACCGCCCGCAGGCAGTGTCGCAGGCGTTGGTGGTGGCCAATTTTAGGGGAGGCACATGCCCCCCCAATGCATCACCTATGCCTGTGATTTATGCAGAACTAGTAAGTGGGGCAAAATGCTGTATGTGTGATGCAAGTTGGCTAGAACGTCAATAAACGGGGAAGTGATTTTTCACTATTTAAGGGGTTGCTGAGGGTTGGGGACAATTTCTGTCTTTGCAGTATAGGGGGCAATTCTGGCCTAACCTGGCACTCAGGGCAGATGCCCCTTTCACCCTCCCCTAGTTAAGCTACTGACTAGATGAGACAAACCCAGGGTACAAGTAAATTTCCCACCCTTGCTACGCTTGGTTTAGCTCCAATGGTAGTGGCAGTGCTGGGAGTGCTTGCATAACCCCGCTACTATCAGCTGTTAGTGTTTTACCCACTATATCACCTCCCCTAAAATGGAAAAGGATTAGATGGTGCAGTAGTTAAGACTTCAGCTATTGGCTTACATGCTTAGTAGCCAGCTTCCAAAGTAGCAATGATACAAAATATTAAGAAAGCTAAGTGTAAGGTGAAATTCTAGATACAGGGAAGTCAATGACAGTTTTACCATTAACTTCAGTGGAGACAGGATTTGACACTATGCAGAGAAGGAATTGACTGAAAACAAATTTAACAGAATGCAGATAAAAATGGAGTTACTTTAATTATGCAGTTTTAAATTAAATCTTGCACATTTTATTGTATTTAAACTCTAGGTGGCAGCATTGAGCTTTATGCTGCTTGCGCAAAAATAATGACCAATTTAAAACTGACCAAATACAGTGCAGTACACAAATAACTTTCTGGTAGAGCCAATGTTTTATTTCATGTTATCAGATGTAATCATTTCTTAATAAGCATTTTACTAAGTCTGGATTTAATTTTTGAGATGGCTGGACTATCTGATTTAGATTGAACATGAGCTTTTCTCAAAGAAATCCACATAGCTCATCAATGTAGAAAGGTCTGTCTGTCTATGTACATTTTGAGGAAGAACTTGTGAAGGAAAAATAAGCACTAAATCTCACAGTATCTACTTCAGGTTTGGCAACTTCACTAACAATTTATAGAGCTTATTAAATCAGTGAGGCTTCTGCATGAAGTTTTATATTCTGATTTATATTTTAGAATACCATTTTAGACTAAGATATATGAGTTAACTATTTGCTGCCTTATACAGACTCCAAGTTATACAGCACTCTGGGATGTATAAGCCCCAGAAAACTATGCAAGGAGGCTGCACACCAGGAAAACTATTAGGTCAACAGGTAGGCATGTTGCACAAACCGCACACAGAAAAGTGCTACCACACAGCTCAGAATAGCAAAGCATCTCTCACCTAATCCTTATCATGAGTAACCAGGATAATTTGTGGGGGCGATGGCAGTGGGATGTCTCTCATCCCTAACTGAAGGATGAGGTGAGAGGAAGAGCTGTTGGATTAAAATAAGGAACAACCTCTGCCTCAGTGGAGCCTCATCTTCCTTTCCCTGGTTGACAAATTCCAGTCAAAGAGTTCAGTTTAGGGAGCACTGCCATTCATGACGTCATCCTGAGAGTCCCTTTAGGTCTTAAACGTTACAAGCTTTAAATACATGACCCCATTTGTCTTTCCTGCCTAGTGCAGGGGGGCTGGACCTGATAATCGTGTGAGGTCCCTTCCAGCACTTACAATCTATGAGTCTATGAATCTATGAAACAAAGTAAAAACATGGCCCACAGATTTCAAAGAACATATATGTTAAGTCACACAGAAGAATAACTCAGTGAGAGGAGGCCAATACAGACATTAAAACTTACAAATAAGGTTAGCCATCTCATAATCATAATGACTCTATGAAAAGGGACCAGATACCTTAGACAATTAAGAATGGTAGATGGGGATACTCAGTTCTAGTTTATACAGTTGTCATCCAGATATGATTCAAGGGAAATCAGTGTGTGCTCCCAATACTTGGTAAACATGGGCCCCAGTCACAGAAACTGCAGATAGTGCCAAATGGCAATCTTCACAGCTCTCTCACCAGACAGGCTTGAGGCATGTCTGCTGTTGAGACTCCTAGACATATCTTATTAGCTTTAAAATAGAACAGGCACCATTTCCTGAGCTGCATCAGGACAGACCTCAGTACAGACTGAAAAACCCATGTGAGAAGCTGAGTAAATCCCTGGGCAGATAGCCCAGGCTGAGCTGCATGCTGCTACATCTGCACTGCTGTTAGTGCCTGAGCTTCCTAATATAAAGCAGGGAAGTCAACAACATAGGACCTACAGACTGGAGAGTGTAAGTTTACACCATGAATGGTATAAAATGGGGCCTGAACTATTTAATTGCCCTTTGGTGGGTGAGGTGAAATGCGGAGTTGTATTTAGATGCTTGAGCTAAAATAGCTGCTGGTATTTTTATAACCCTGACCCCAGGGTTGGTGCCCCGATTCCTTTCCTTCCTTATGCTACTGGTCAAAAGTCAGTCATATTGTGAGGCAACTCATCCTGACCAGCTTGTGGTACCTTTTCAAATAGAGAACTTTAGTGCTGTCAGTACAGAATGATACTTTGCACAGCATGAAACTCAACCCCAAAATGAAAAACAATTTGTTTCTTTAAAAACAAAAAGAATGTACTGAAAGGAAATGAAGGTGATAATGGGCCAGTATATGAAAGCACAATAGATGTGAACAGTATAAGGGATTCACAGAAAAACAAGAAGCATAAAAATGATACTTAAAACCAAAAATTCAGAGCCAATATCAGCAGATACAGGAAGCAGGTGGGGATCTAGACAATAGAATTAACCAGCAACCTCCAAAAACAACCAGAAATTAATTAGGGTAACGATAACAGTTGCAGTTGTTATAAAATTTTCTGCCTGGAGGTACTGAGAAAAGTCAAAATGGCTCTCTTTAAATCATGGCTTTACATTATCCTCTAAAAGTCAGAATGTACTTAGCTTCCCTGTGGGTATGCTGAAAGGCACAAGAAGCCTCATGGCCTCTTACATTTATTAAGTTGGACACGAGTGCATTCTCTGGGTTTTCCAGACTGTAGGCATTCACTCCACTCTAGTACACACTAGAGAAAAGATCCCCCTAAGAGGATGGAAAGGAGTCAGAATCAGGGCTCCATCTGATCCTCTGCACTGGCCAGCAGACCTCTCTGGGCACAGGACAGGGAGTGTGCTACGCTCACTGATGGGGTGTAACCAAGGACATGTTCCCAGGATGATCAGGGAACTCGGAGCGATGTTGCCTCACTGAATTGTTCTCTTTTTCCCAGGTTGGACCACTTCCACATATACACAAAAGGGATAAATTGATGGAGAGAGAGGATAGATGGGGATATGGTAGAGCAGATAGTCAATTGTCTTCAACGCTCCCCTTTTTAAAATAACTGATAAATCAACACAGTAATTTTGCATTACAAACTCGAAACTTAATATCATTTTCATTTCTTTGTCTGTCTAACTACTCTATATACAACCAGTACACAAACAGCAATTTTTTTTTTTTTGCTCAGGTACTTATGCATTTAGATTTCTCTATATAAAAATGTGTTTACCTTGTATAGGGAGGTAGAGGTAACGTAATCCTGGTCCATTTGTTGAAAGTGTCTGATACCAGAATCCTTTGGAGATGGTACTTGTTGCATTCTACATTAGTGGGAAGACAGTCTTTCGACATGGGGTGCCATGTTAATCCAAGATCCACAGAATATTCCAGCTCAATAGCTAAAAATTGGAATAAAAGTAGTTAATAAAGAAATAGGTATGCTTCCGTAAGTATGTTGTAACAAACTGGTGACCACTGAAGACCTCATTGGTGTCATTGTGATGCCTATCTGGACCACTCAAGTTTACAGTAGCAGCAAGGGTAGTTTCCAGACCATCTTAAACTTAGCAGTCAGGCCTGCCCCTGATTTTGAAGATAATTCATTTGATGACAGTACTTATTGAGCAATTCTGTTTCTGTCCAGTGGAAAACAGGAGTGCATGTACACATTAGTTAAATCATTACAGTTTCTCATATAAAATATATATTATATATTCAATTTAGTTTTTCAGCTAGGTTGACTTCAGTTATATATTTCAATATCATTACCTAGCTGTATTAAATCCATGAATACATTCAAATATAATGAATATCAGCAATTAAAATTATTTTAAGTTTATGATTTACAAACTTTTCTTACAAAAGCAAGTAAAAAATTGCAAAAAATGTCAATGCATTTCTTCACATTGGCTACATGAAGTTGAAGTAACAATAGACACAGAACTGAAACTTAAAACTAAAGTTCCAGCTGCCAAGATTTCCAGGTGAATTGCAAACAGAACGGTGGTTACAGTTATAATGGTGGTAAATTTGCTTTTTGATGACAATGGGCCCATTTCTGTTCCCCCTCCTCATGAGTAACAATCATCTAATAGGTCCTACTGGATGTCTGAACTCAGAAATAGGAATTATACAAATACATGGAGACAAGTGAGTATCCACAATGACAAACACTCTTAAAAAATAGAATCATCTTCACTAAAACGGATCCTCCCTCTATCATGACTGGAAGCACAGTTTCCTGCCTAATTGAATAATGAGTTCAAATAAATGTTAAGTGTAATAGACAAAACAAAAAAGAAGGAAATGTCTTCTTGCCAAGATATAACTAAGCTGTCAGAGTACTCTTAAACTTAACAGAAATGACACTTAAGAGATGCTCTAATAGCTTTAATGCCAAATGAAAAGTAATTATTATGCATGGGGCAGTTGTTAATTTCTAGACTAAAATATCTTGGTTCCAGAGGCTTCAAATAAAAAAAATCAGTTAATCTACTTTAGGGATTTGCTGAAAACACAATTTCCATTTTTTATGCAGAATCCAATGGAAGTGCCTGGAGCTGACTGTGTATGTGTGTGTATGTGTGGGTATATTTCATGCAACCCCCAGCCCCACTTTAAAGCCAAACACTTTCCTCCAAATTCTAATTTAAAATAATGCTATTTAAGTTGCAAATTCAAGCACTTATAAGTTAGGAAATGCAGGTATTATCTTAAGTCTTCCCCATGATTATGCATTACGATATAGTCTTTAATTACAAAGTCATTAATTTTTTCCCACAGATTCTCCTACTTGTTCAGTGCTGTAAACTGAGATCTAAGATGCGTAGAAACCCAAGTCCAAATTCTGATATCACTTTGCCCCAGTATAACTTAGAAATAATTTATACTGATATGCACCTAATATAAATAAATTCAGAATCAAGCGCAAAGGTTTTGTAAGCCCATTATGCAAAATCATGAAAATATGCTGGTTTTCAGCATCATACCAGATTTACTCACATACCCCACACACCTTTCCCCGCAAAATTTAGCCTTCTGGCAGGGAAGCTAAGTTTCTATCCAGAATAGAAACATGGAGCTGCTGCAAAATGGCTACTGCTTCTTTTCCATCTTTTCCCTCCAGCAGTTGCATGGAGAAATGGGTGGAGTAGAGCAGAGGCACATACAGGGCAGGGCAGTGACACATTTGCACCGGGGTTTGATTTCTCCTCCAAGCTAAGTTTAAAAACAACTGCCTGGCAGCAACAGTGGCATTTCTTTTCAGGCAAGGCTAAGGGAGTCAATTGACTTCATGGCTCTTTATAATCTGTTTGATTGCTTCTAATCATTTCATAGGTGTTAAGAAATCCTTCTTCTTTTTAGTAATCTTTATGCCCCACTAATCAAGGCATCCTTTCTTTGGCAATGTTGCTGTCTATTAGTTTCTCCTGGTGTCTCTTCTCTTATTTCACAGCCCTGTAGACTGGTTTTAGCTCATTTAAAAATCCTAGGTCCATCCATGTAGTCTAGTCTTCAGTAGCAGCTATAGTTTCAGCTTTTGCCTAAGCAGCAAAGGTCAAAGAGCCTCTGAAAATTCAGCTCTGAAAGGGTTAAAACCGTAGGTTTTGCATGAGTGAGAAAGGAAGAGGGGATGAGCTGGAGATTAAGCTCTGTCCCTGTTCCATGCATCTTAACTCTGGAAAAATCTTTTTTCTTTATTGTGTCTATCCAAGAACAAGATGTGTATCTGGGTGCCATGCCTTACATCAGTGCTTCCCAAACCTTTCCTCAGCATAACTCTATTTATGGCCCCATTTCCTCAGCATGACCCCTCACTCCCAACCCATAGCCTGCCACCCCTGTCACTCCATCCACCCATTTGGGGTTGTGACCCACAGTTTGGGAACTGCTGCCCTAGGTGGTATCCAGCCTATGGACTGGCCCTGCACCAGTCATTTGGTCCATGGAGCCAAAACATTGAGCACCACTATCTTGAATGAGCTGAGTTAGAATTGCTTTCTTTTCTTAAATGCTTGCAAAGCATTTCAGGAAAGAATGCACATACTAAGTGTACTGGTGTTTGGTGTATGAACGCATCAACAATAAATGCTGAAATTCTAATTTCCTGATAGAAACCAACTAGTTTCCTTGCTTGATTTCTGAGCCTTTATTGCCACAGATGGCTGAATCAGAAAATAGGTAGCCATACACTCCTATACAAGAAGAACAGAGATTTACCAAAAAGCTCTTACCATAACAGGAATCTGTGACAGAGCAGGAGGCTGCAAAATCTATTTGCATGAAAGAATCCTCATTAACCACAATGTCAGTGGTGACAACATAACGGGTGCTAGCTTTTTCGATGAAAACCAGTGCATCTCCAGTAGAACCACACACTGGCATCTTTGTTCCACCTGGATGGAGCAGCCACTTTCTGCTATCCAGTGTGGTGAAATCATCTTCTAGGACTGTGTTACCAGAGATGTTTCCACCAATAAGTATCTGAAACCATTAGAAGAACAGTTTTCTTAGATCATGGAATGAAAAAATAAAATTCAGAAGTTCTTTGAAACTCAGGTATTTACTAGAATCCTAGAGGTGAAAACAATTTACTGGTGATATAGTTCATACCCTGTTAGTGCTGGACTGTTCTATATTCGTCAGAAATTGATTTATCCAGAATTTTCAAAAAAGGAAAAAAAAAGAAAAGAAGAAATCAATAAGTTATATCAGAAAGAGACAGACCGTAAATAGAAGGCAGCCCCTCCAAGTTAACTATTTTGGAAAGGTGGCCACCTGAAAGGAAGAGAAGAGAGCATGAATGCCAAACTAGGGCTTGATCTTGTAAATGCTTATTACAGATGAGTAATTCTGTTCACATGAATAGTCTATTGAACTACTGACTCAACATGACTACCCAGAGAGTAAAATTACTCTCATAAAGAAAAAGTTTACAGAATCATGCCCACAGCAATAATTTTCCTGTTGCCTGCTGAAAGGCAGCATGGCCTCATGCATTTTGGGTGAAATCTTTTGAAAGGGAAGGGAGTTTTGCCATTGACTTCAAGGTCAGTGTACTACCCTTCCTCTCCATGTAGAATGAAATTAATTATTTATCCATTTTTCTGAATTCAGTATGATATTGTTTGTTCTGACAATCATTCAATAGTAGCAAACAACAAAGAGCTAGGAATTAAAGTAAAGGATTTTTATTCAATACGTGAAAGAAAGGAAAGAAAGCTTTGCGATCTTAGAATTTGTGAATGCAACCTTGAGGTGTTTGAGAAATGAACTAACAAATATAAAAATATTTGTATGTTTTACAATATTGGCCTCAAACTTCAGTAATATTACTGCTAGGAACAGTGCCTATTTCCTTTACACTATAGTATACCACTGTGTACTGTGAGGTTATTTCAGATTTATATAGATGTAAGTGTAAACAGAGTGTTTTGGACAACCACCAAAAAATAATGTATTGCTTTCTACAGAAGAAAACCCCAAATCTGGATACTCCCAAACTTCCACTGTGTTCAAAATTAGAAGAGGGATCCAGATGTAATTTCTACAAATAACTCATCTTGTTATAAACTGCCAAAACAAACTCCATATATGGGCATCCCTGAATGTGGGGGTTTTCAAATTTGAGCGGGTGCTGATATATATTTTACATATTACACTTAGCTCTAATCTTAACAAGTTGGCTTTATCCAAGTGTCAAAAAACTCTCTAGTATTGATATGGATATTTGTACCCAGCAAGATAGCAACATATTAAAAGCACAAACACTCCGACACATTAATTTTGATAAATGGTTTTGCTGCATTTTTGTGTTTCTAAAATATCATTCCAAAGGTTTTCTAGGAAGAACGAGTAAAGGAACAAATATAAGCACAGTGGAAATACTGAGCCTGAGGACAATGTGAGGTCATATTTTAAAGTACAAAAGATGAATTACCTGATCAATTACCCATGGGCTGTAAAAATGCCCATTCTCAGATGGTTGCCACCAGCGGAGACGAGTGGAGCTGGAACGGGCCTTCAGGGGAATTTCCATGGCAATGTATCGGCCTACATTGCTTGAATTACTGAAGAGGAATTCTTGAAGCAGGCTCCATGTGAGGCCCCCATTAAGTGAATGTTGTAGAAGTACAGGTTGGCTTCTGGGGTCTGGAACTCCCTTGCCACATCCCAGTCTCATGAAGAACTGCACAAATCTAACATTGTTGACAATTACTGTAACACATCTCTTCATAAAACACCTTGAGAGGACTCAGATCTTCTAAGTATGTTCTGGTTCCCCCATCCCCCAACCCTGGATAATATTTACCAAATAGTCTAATGGCATAGATTGAATCTGTAGACATAAAACCACTTGCCAGCCTAGACTACCTTCAACAAATATGCATATTCCTGTTCACTGTCTAGCCCAGTGTTTCCCTGCTAGAAGAAAGACTCAGCTTAAGGAAGGACTTTTGTCTTCCTTTTCATAGGCCACAGGGCAAAAATTCACTGTGTTGGTAACCTTCCAGAAGAAGCTGATAGTTTTCTATCCTGCTTGAACAGTTTCTCATTTTGACAAAACCTGATAAAAATTGGAAGTGAGACATGTTTCTCTTCTGAACTTACAAGAAAGGGTGTTTTCATTCATTGACTCATCACTGAAAACTTAATTTAAAGTCACATTGCTTTAAATAAACTGGTGTAGGTATAGTCCTCTATATGAGGTCCCTGGCAAAACTCTCTTGGGGACTTTAATGGGACCAAGATTTCATTAAACATCTAAGAAACCATTTTGAAGAAGGAACAACAGACTTGTAAGAATTTTGGGAATCCTTCCTCTGGGGTAAGGAAGAGTACAATCACATACGTGGGGAACTGAAGAAAAACAGAGGTTACATTGATATTTACTCATCAACCTCACATGGGTATTGTGAATATTAATTGATGTTTGCACAGTGCTTTGTAAAAATGTAAAGTGCTTTAACAGTGCTAATTATCATCACTTTAGTACTGGATGCCTGATAGTATAATGAAACACTGTAACAAGGTTTGTATTAGAGAACTGGTTTTGTTTTGATCTTCAGGTAAATTTGCAGGGCAGGAAGACTTTTGAGGGAAAGCTTCTACAAAATACCTTACTAATGAGTCAATTAATTCAAGTGCTCCTTAGTATTGTCAGTTTCTATTCTTACCAAAAATAGCTCCTTTCAATATACATCATGTCAAACTGTGTCCCAGGGAAATATATTACTAGTGCTGTAAAACAACACTGAGGACCTACTTGTATCAACATATCAACTTTAAAGGGTTGGATTTACAGCCGGTGGGTCTTTGTATTCCTATAGTTTCTCTTCTTTGACACTGATCAAGTAATTCAAAGGGAAAAAAAAAGCAAGTGACCTTGTCCCTGTTGGAATCTACCCTGCTTATAGCTTGTTATTCTTTTCTCTTTTTATTTTGAATAATTCATCAGTAAATCTTTCAAGAGATAGCAGTAATCAAAAGTGAAGATAGATTTCTTTTTTTTTGCAGAGTAAATTTTAACTAACCTTTTTCCCATGCCATAAAATATCTTTGAGAAAAAATGTATCTATTTTTAACTGCAAAACCAAAAGTTTGCCTTTAGATGCAACACCAATAGACACCAAAGAAGTGTCTGGACATGTAGTACAACTGAATCTATTTAGATTGTACTCGGAGAACTGGCGAGGATGAAGCCCACGCTGATTCTGACAATATATATTTTTTTAAATCTGTTTTTATCCACTATAAAATCTATTTTATCCACTAATTTATGACTATTTCATATTGAATTTTTTGCAGACAGGATGCTGACAAGACAGACCACTGATCAGATCTTGTATAACAAGTCTTACCTTCCTAACCACTAAGACTTATTTGCTGGCACAGACATAATTACTATTCTCTTTTTTCAGGGGATCTTCTCATGAGGATACACAAGGCTTTTAACATGGTTACTGACCCCAGTGCTCTTACATTTAACCTTGGCAGTTCTCTTTAAAAGATCTGTTGGGAACTCCCACTTTCAGAGTGCCAAATTAATCCCTGGCATAAACTGACATAACTACTAATGATCTCAGTGGGATTTGGCTCATTTATATTATGGAGGAATCTGTTTCAGAGTTTAGTGGGAAGCTGGTGAAGCTAACTATTAACAAACTTCCATTATATTAATTGTGGAAAGCTGAAAATGGATATTAGAAATGACTCTGCAGTGTACACTGTGGCTTTATTCAAAGAGGGTAAGAAAGGAAGCAATTATTTGCCAACAATTTTTCCATTGCATACATTAAAATATTAAACACACTGCCCTGTTTTTCTTTCATTAGCATAGCATTCATTCATCTCCAGTCTTGAAGGAAATTAGGATTTTACATATAACACCTTGAGGTCAATGTATGCAAATCCATTAGGGCCTACCACGGAGAAGGGATAACTGACTATTCTTTGAACGTGAGAGAGAAGGAAAATATATTGTGTTTTTAGAGTGATGGGGCATCTCACAGGACTCTTGTATCTGTGGTAAAACAGTGTTAATTTCAGAACACGGTAGACAATCAAATTCCTGAAAGGGTATTGATGTTTGTGTTTACCAAGCTGTAAAAACACATTTGCTTTGAAGAACTTTGGAAATTAAATGTTAATGCCTGTGATATTAGATGTTAGTGGCAGTCCACCTAAAGCCATGGCTTATTATTTCTCTAAAAATGTAACAGTTAGTAATTAAGTACCACTGTGCACTATGAAGCTGTGCAATAGTGTCACTATTTAAAGCATTTATGCTAATGAGGACTACAAGCCAAAAAAGAGATAAAGACCATATTAAAATATGATTTGCTAAGAGTATTAGACAAGTCTTGCATAAGGAGTAGAAGAATGGTGTACTACAAGTCAGTGAACAAATGAGGAAAAATGCAGCTGATCAAAAAAAGTAATTTAAGCACTATAAGCTTAGATACTGAATGAATCAGAAAACTAGTTGTTCTGATTTGCAGACAATTAACTTTTGCATTGGTTTACTATATAAATAAAGCAGACCTATGTATGTATGTATGTATGTATGTATGCATGCATGCATGTGACCAGACAAGTGAGCACATGCATGTTGTGGCATCTCATACCAGTTTGAGATGCCACAAGAGCCCCCAAGAAGTGGAACAGACTGCTGCCAGAGGTGGTGCAAGCACCTACTCTGGATTCCTTTAAGAGTCAATTGGATGTTTATCTTGCTGGGATCCTGTGACCCCAGCTGACTTCCTGCCCCTGGGGCAGGGGGTTGGACTTGATGATCTTCCGCGGTCCCTTCCAGCCCTAATGTCTATGAAATCTATGAAATCTATAAGAGGTACACTGGGGATGAAAAAATGTTCCTTGTGCTGCATGTTTGCAGCATGGACTCTAATTTTGATACCAGGAAATCCTGGTATATAAAAAAAACACGCTGAAAAAAGCAGCCCCCTGAAGCACCCAGAAGCTGAGTCCTCTGGAGAGATGCCTCAGCATGCTGGAGCAAACAGGAACAGGGCAAGGCAGGAGCAGTGGATTGGACCCAGGCTCCGTCCCTGGTATCTAGGGATGTGGGTGTGGGGGGGCTGCAGGGGTAGGGGAGACTATGTAGGAGGGGTGGGTCCCTCACCCAGCTCCCCGCATGATGCAAAGTGCCCCCTGCAGCAGCAGCAGCCATCAGGGCTCTCATGCTCACTCCTGGCAGACACCCCTGGCAGTGTGGCACTGCCCCAGAATCGGTGGCTGGACATGGTGCAGGGCAGTGTCATCCTGTTGGTGCACGCCTTTGGGCATAACTAGGATGGGTCCAGCTGTCACCCACATCTCCTGGCACCGCATGCTGGAGCTGCGTGCCCCAGGGTCAGGCTGGGTTCTGCCCCCATGGAGCTGGGCTCAGCTGACAGCATGAGGGCCCGTCAGACAGGACCTGGCCCAGCCCAAGGGTGTGGAGCTCTGGCATGTGGTGCTGGGAGCTGGAGGTGACAGCGAGACCTGGCCTGGTTTCATTTGAGGGTGCGTGCTAGTGGGGTGACAGTACCCTGAGCCATGTCCATAAGCTGCCAGGCTGGTGGGGGGAGGGGATCTCTGCTGCCCCCACTGCCCCACGCTGCATGGGGAGCTCTGCCACAAGCCACCCAACCCCCGTCTC